AAGATTGTTAAAAATGGAGTCAAAGTTTAAATCAGTTTAAATCTCTTCCGCGCGATAGAGATCTGTAATAAAACGCCAGATATTATGCGCATGTCGTTAATTTGCGCTACACATAAATATTACGTTTTATACCAACAACTTTTGAGTGCAATATTTGCATGGGGATAGTTTTGAATGTGAACGCCGCACTGGTTGCATTCAGTTTGAGTATAAATCCTGATACGGCTGTCAAACTAACCCCGTTGTTTCGGACCCGACGCACAACGTATTATGCCGTATATGTGAGTTGTGTGTCGTTTTTAATAAAAGCTCTCATTAATGGTTTACTCTCGTCGTCTGATGATGAAACAATGATTGAGAGAAATTGTCAATGATTTTGCGCTAGCTTTTCAGATATAGAAGATCGATCGATCAGATCAGCACTTTAGACGTAACGTATTGATCTTAAAATAGTTTATATCGGGGGAGACATTATGGAGGCAGTCTGTCTGTCTGCCGAAAATAGTAGACTTAATTTCCTGGCAATGAGAAATTTTGATGAATCTAGCAAAAGGATTAAAATGAAACATCTAGAAATTTGAATTTTTGTAGTGCTAATCTCCACACTTAAGATTAAACGTTTAAATTTGTAGAAAAAAGTAAGAAAAGTTTTTCGCCGCTGTGGGAATCGAACCCACGTCTTCCGGATTTGCGCCCAGACGCTTTATCCACTAAGCTTAACTGGCTGATTACCACACCAACGAAAATCTCAACGTCTCTCGTAACGTTGAGATCTTTTCGTACTTTCTACAATTTAATTTTAATTCAACACCTAACAAAAGTAGTTATCACTGTCATTAAACAGTCGTGCACCCAACTATTTTATTTAAACAACATCTTATTTTTCATTGCTCCTCTCCTATTTTTCTTATTCTACTAGTAGGGAATTAAGGTTCCCCGCTATGTTAATATTCGTATTAATAATTTTACTTACTCTGATACTGTTCTAAGTATTCGGAAATGGATCTAACAGCCTCACACAGTTTCTTTACTTTTTTGTAATTTCGGATGATTTCTGTATTATCTATCTTAATTTAAGAACCAATACTAGAATCAATAGCATAACCTGAGAAGTAAGTCATAATTACAATAGCAATTTTAAAATTACCTTAATAATAGTAATTGGCATATTCGAATTTTAATGACTACTTTACAGACTATCGTGGTTTAATTTTCGTTAAAACCTCCGAAGTTTCGAATTCTTCACATCACTCATCATTGACGTAGATAATTTAAATAAGTCGTTATGAAATCTATAAAGTAGTTTTGAAAAAGTGTCTAAAAAGTTTGTTGACACTTGCGCTGCACAACGTTGCGTTTACACATAATTAACATCGCTTTTGTAAGAGACAGTTTTGGTTTTTTGTTCAATGAGCAAAATCAATACGCTCTTTAATTGATGAAAGGTACACATTCGATCCGAGCGCTCAGCGGCTCCGTTTCTTAGAAGGAAATATGGAGACGGAAACATCACTAAGGAGGTCCGGTGCAGTTATAAAATAACGATCTCCCAGTAACGAATAGAAGTCGAGAACATAATGGCCTTTACGTTCAAGACGCTGATATTGTACTGGAGCATACACGTTAACATGTCCGGTTAACATGTTGCATGTTAACCGGACACCGGACAGCGGAACAACCCGGTTCTTGTTTGCGTTCGGAATCTGCCCGTTATCTCCGCTACGGTCGTGTTAACATCGGATACAGGTGGTTCTGTGTTCCGGACGTCGATAGGGACACCCAATGTCGACAGTCACGCTCCGAAGCTTTTTGCGGTTGGGAATTCGATGACGATGGACTGCGCGAAGGTTTTGTCTACAGTTTTATGAACTAACGGTTTTATTGTGCGTAAAAAAACTATGTTGTCGGTCCTCTTGTCGAGTTGTTTGTTATAATTTTTCTGGTTTTGGTATTGCAAATCTCTATATTGTGTCATTTTTAAGCTATGGACGCTGTCCGTTTTGTCCAACGAAATAAAAAGTACGTAATAACTGCAGGTTTTTTGTCGATTGATCTCTGAACAGATTATAAATTTGACAAGGTAAACTTATTTCACAGCCATTCATTTATTAAAACATTTTTGAAATTGAGTTAAGTTTAAGTTAATATTACAATCGAAGTTGAAATGGTGAAAAGTTTTAATGATATTGATAATGTAATCAGAATGAAGAAGAAATTAAAATAAAAGTTCAAGAAAATTATCACGCTCTCGGCCCTTAACACGTATGCAACGATTATCAAGGCGTCTATCACTCGAGAACCTTTCTCGAGTGATATATGTAGTGATGAACTGTGCGGGAAGTCAATAGATACAGATGGCAGAATCTTGCTTCATAGCGGTCTGTAGGGGAGGCCTATATTAATAGGCCTATTTTAGGCCTATCTTAAAGGCGGCAATGTACTCAAAAAGATGAAATGATGTTGATGATGATGCATATGTACTGCTTATTTTATTTGTAGTCTTCTAGGGCGAGATGTATACATTACTCGTATTTTAATTTTTATATCTGTTCAATCTTGCAAGGCTTGATTACACGCGCGTGCCAAAAATATATCCCGATCAATAAAACGGGGTGGACTATCGATCGGTTCGGAGCAAACGAAAGCTTCTCCGTCCGTGTATCCCAATTAGAGTTGACATTGATTCGGTCTGCAGGCGGCGGGCTCGCGGGCCCGAAATAACCGCGGCCGGGACACGTCGATAATCCCCGGCCGATGCACCTTATTGTTTTTTTGTTAACGCGGGGTAATGCCTACCTACGCACACCCGTCCTCGCGGGGGCAAGAACGGGTTATGCCGGACTCGCACCGACTAAAACCAGCACGATATACGCACGCCTCCTGACCCTACCAGTGCTAGCCGCATCAGCAGCCCCTCCTCAGTGATCAACTCCCCTCTCCTCTAGGTACGACATGTAGCTACTATGCTAACAGCAACGGCAGATTGGGATGCATCCATTCAAATAACTAAGTAGTAGTAGTACAGGGTTTGCCTTATCCAATTGCTCGGGATAAAAATACACAACATTGTGTTCTTTCTTCGGTTTACAAATTGTCTCCTCTACATCAACCTACTACTATTAACTTTCTCATGTGTATAATATTAGTTTAATTATAATTAGTTTATGTTGGTAATACGTCCTTATGACAATGTTATCCTAAATTAAGGGCAATGTTTAAAAAAAACATATTTTATGTAAATGCAAAATACATGTACCTATAACATATATAAGTCGTATATGTTAGCTTTACTTTATTTTATCGAGTTAAGAAGGTAGAATTATAAATACTTTTACCAAATCACCGTAGTTTTACTTTGCACAACAATAGCATTGTTATAATCACTTATTTCAACTTTTAGACTAAAGAATCACAACTCTAACGATTTAATTTGTGTTACCGATTGGGCAGCACAATCGCGTACACTTCTTGAAGACCATCATGCAGCTTCATTTATACCTCATAAAATGCCACTTCTTTTAGTGTTGCCACCAACCTCAAAGAATGACTTCTTTTAATGTTGCCAACATATATAGGTCGGTGTGTCGATTGAAGACTTAAAATTAAGCTTTTACACTATAAAGTTTCCATAAATTTAAACAATTATCCATATGTTACTTACTCATAGTACTTCTTTATGTACTATAAGTAAGTTAATACTCATATGTTTGTTTGTTAACGAATTCATCACGTTGATGTGGAACGTCGATAACTCCGTTTGACATTGTGCGGTGTAGAGTACCTACTCGAAAAGTCGGCTTGCGAAATAGCTAAAATAATCCCGATTGAACCCGTAAAAATAATTTTATGCCGCAACCATATCAACTCACAACTCGTAAAAAATGGCAAATATTTGCAATATACATGTTATATGAATAAAACACCACTCGTCATGTGTATATATAAAACTCGCATTATAACATAACTGATTATATTGAACCACTTCCAACCGAACTTGTTTATACGACATTTTGCTCTGTCACCTCTGCCTCTATATTTTACTACTGTTATCTATTTACTTAAAACTATTACAATAATATCCATTATTTTTTTAATAATACACTATTTTATTATATTATAGAGCCGTGATAGCTCAGTGTCCGGGCGCTCGCCTTTAATTCAATATACTCGAGCAACCTGAGTTCGATCCCCGGTGCCGGCACCAATGAAGTTTTTAACTTTAAGTGCTGACTTATCACGTGCTCCGCGGTGAAGGAAAACATCGTGAGGAAACCTGCATATTTTCGATTTAATAACAAAAATATATATTTCGAAGATATGTGAAGTCCGCCAATCCGCAGTGGAGCCGCGTGGTGGACTATTCCCTGATACCCTCTACGATGAGATAATTTGTCGCCACCATATGGCGACAAATTATCTTATCCTTTATACTATTCAAGGTTCAGGACAATGTAGGCCGGTTTCCGATGGTTACTTAGTTATATATGTTGGAATTAGACTCAACATTGTAACAATTGTTTTGATTGTGTATGAAAACCAAAATCAAATGAAAATGGAAAATACCGGCCTTATCTATAAAAAAAGGCAAAAAATCCTGTCTGTTGTATGGGAGCCCCACTTAAATATTTTTTATTCTGTTTTTTTAATATTTTTTGTTATAGCGGCAACAGAAATACCTCATCTGTGAAAATTTCAACTGTCTAACTATTATGTTTCATGAGATACAGCCTGGTAATAGATGGAGGATAGACAGACAGACGGACAGACAGACAGACAAACAGACAGCTAGACAGACAGACAGACAAACAGACAGACAGCGGAGTCTTAGTAATAGGGTCCCATTTTACGCTTTGAGAACGGAACCATAAAAGACTTTTCTTTCTTGAAACGAACGACCACAATTGCATAGAACTTTTTAATCTCTGTAATATACCTTTAGAGTTTCGGTTTTATTTTTCACGTTCCAACAAAAAAAAAATCGCAATATTGGTCAAAGAAAAATGCCACTGGCAATACAGCGGCTTGTAAAGCTCGACGCTATGCGGTAGGTACGTCGGTGAAATGCAATATGTTTTTTTTTCCATACTCGAGAGTAAAATTTTCCACTCTGAAATATTGACACTAATGAAGTAAACATTGTTACACTGAACGGGAATAAAATATGCATTTTATTATCGCGCTGATTACGTTGCATTCAAAAAGCTCTCGTGTAATTTTTTAATCGGATTCACCTCGCCTGTAGTTTCGATTCATTTTAAGTTTTCAATTTATCATTATAACTCGTAAATAATGATAAAGTAATGATGAAGGCGTAGGTGGAATTATTTTGGAACAAAATCAATTTAGGTCGATGGCTTAAAAAATAAGGTTTTTTTTTAATTGTCTTGAGTATTGTTGTAAGGTGCATCGTCAATTTTTAAAAATGATAATCAGCTTTTCAAAATGTAAAGTAATGATGCTACGTACGAATCAAATTGAATGAAAATTTAAGTCTTTTGTTTAAAAAAGGTTTTTCTTAATTCTTTGAGTATTGTTGTAATGTGCGTCGTCAATCTTTTAAAAAATAACCAACTCTTTTTTAAGATTCTCGCGTACTTCTTAGTGACGTATACTTTCCCAACAACGCAAGAATAAAATAGGAGTGCAAATTCCTACACACTGTACAATTTAAACTAAAGCCTTTAAGGGTAAAAGTAGCTTGAATGCTCAAGTGGAACTATAAAAGCTGTAGAGAGTAGCTTGTTTGTTGTCACGTCTTTGCGATGGCCCATTACTCGCACTTTGATATCGTCTTACAGCGTTCCGTTCCGGGAGTAAACGTGATATTCCGAAAAACTGTTCCTGTTTTCTTACGTAATTTAAACTAACAAACGAACTTGGTACTAGCGGAGATGAGGTCCCTCAGAATATACTTTGTAACAAGTGTCGGATTTTGGCGCAACGCTTGGCACTGAAAACGAACGAGGTTGTCCATTAAATAAACTTAAGTAACACGTGAATTGACCGATGTATTTGGTTTCGATAACATCGTGAAAAATAGAAGAATTGAATCAAATTCGTCGTTTCATCTTTTTGGTTATTATTGGAAACCGTTAGTTTTATCAGGGTAAGCAGATGAGCGTCTACGTAATGTTGAGGTTAATACAAAAGTGTTTTTAACTTATTAAAACGAATCGGAGTCCAATCTAACCCTCTTTATAAAAATCGTCATTGTGTAACAAATTACGCGGTATAACGAATATTTTAAATTCCCTTGAGCGTCTTATCGAGGATGCACTGTGTTCAATATACATTCAAACAAATAGTGCAATTCTCCCGGAATGTATATTTTTCTTAAGCTCTCTGTTTTTATGAACATTGTCATAGTCTATACGGTAGCTTTGTACTAAATAGTTCGACCAAAGTACAAGGGATTTTGTTTGTTGTGAAATCGCAATTGAGGGGCCAAGTTCTTCTTAAAATGATTTAAAGTTTCACCCTTCTTTCCTTGTAATACGTTGCAGCGAAGGGTAAAATACTTTATGAGATAAATGTTACGAAATACAACTCCGCTTTAAAATTATTACGTATTTTCACTAACAGAGTCTTTCTGTGTTAAAACTCAACAATAGTTAAATAACAAATCATAATAATTTCCTATGCATTTTTGATAACAATTTGCATATTTTTGTTTATGTATATGTATATATATATATATATATATATATATATATATATATATATATATATATATATATATATATATATATATATATATATATGTGTATGTATGTATGTATTCTACGTTTCTTTTCATTGAGGTAGCCGGTGCCCACTTTATTAATAGGTGGCAACGCATCTGCAACCCTACGAGTGTTGCTAATGTCAATGGGCGGCGGTTATCACTTAACATCAGGTGAATCATTCTATTATATATTTATAACATCTGTATTTGTATGTTAATGGAACTGCGCGTTCGATTTAGTCCGTCGCTTATCGGGCCGGCCGACGGGGGGAGCTAGTCAATACCGTGGGCTATTTCGGGCCGCGACGCGCTGCCCCGTTAATTGGTCGCGTAAAGGACACCTGACCAGGAACAAGCACAACTACGCGTCTCTCGTCGGGTTCGAAAAACGTACAGTAAAAGTTAATAGCCACTCGCTTATGATTTTTTTATTACCATTTAGCTACATCAATAAAGCTTGCGATGATATGCGTCAAAAGGAATTATAAAACGGACAAGCTCACGTAGAAAGGACCCCACGGCGCGACAGCCAACTCTTCTCACTCACCCTGATGAAGGACCTCCGATATGTACGATCCGAAACTAGTCGGTGCATACACCGATTCTCCATGAGTTTAGCCGTTTAATTATTCCGTTAATATTGTCTCACGAAAGTTGTGATGATAGGCCGCAAATTCACATCGGGTCAAGCGCTCGTTTTATGTTCGCCTGTGTTTTTATATAAACACATGTGTTCAGATTAAGGTATTCTAATGCTCAGCCTTGGTGACAGTCAACCAGTGTGGTGTCATGGATGCTTGTCTTGTTTTTTCTTTTCAAACACCAATTGACAGATGTTAAACTATCGCCGTGATAGCTCAGTGTCCAGTCGCTCGCTTTTAATTCAATATACTCGACCAACCGTTCTAATCCGGGAGCCGCCAGAAAATGAAATTGTTAAATGGAATTTTAAGTGCTGACTTATCACGTGCTCGTCGTAAGGAAACCTGCATATTTTCGAAATAATAAAAAAAAGATTTCGATGATATTTGAAGACCGCTAATCCACAGTGAGGTCGCGTGGTGGTGAATTATTCAAAGTCACTAACAATAAAATTACATTTTTATTCATCTTCCTCCGCAAAATCATAAACAACATTCAAGATAAGACTCGAGAAAAAATCATAATGTCTCAATAGCGTTGTCACTTCCCTTGTCTAGGGTTCACTTGTCTACGTACGTACAAACGTGTGCGTTGATCCCCGCCTACTCCTATACGTTACAGTCATCGATATATTTATTAGTATTATTGCCATCTCTGATTTTATACCGAGCAATTTTCAACTTCCCAATACCGAGTTAGGCTCAAGATTCAAAGATCTGGCAATTTGGATGAAATTCGTATATCAAACTAGCTATATGTGAGTGGCGTTACACGGTGCAAGTAACGTCCTATCCGGCACGTGAAATGTAAACCACATGGAAAATATTCATTCAGTTGGCTTCGTGAATGTACTGCTTTCAACGTCGCTGCACGTCTGATTTCATTCGCTGTTTTGCGGCGCGCTGAATATTAGCGGCAGGAATGGACTAGTTTTCGGTGAATCCGTTACTGATGTTAGATTAAAACCACGCCTGCCATTTTCCCCGGGTAGTCGTTTTAATAGTTTTGACGCCATTGAATTAAAATCCTATATTATTATTTTTGTGGTCGCAAGCGAAAAATAAGATGAAATTTAACAAACAAAATGGGAGTGGCGAAAGTTAGCCAAGCTTATCGAAGAAGTAAAAGTTGAGGTAATACTACAGTCTCTTGCAAGCTTAAAGGCTACAATGATTGCTAAGAATAAAGTTTTAATCTAAAATCCATCTAATTCAAATCGAGATGAAGTTAGACCCCTTGTTTGATTCGGTCAAGTTAATTTGTATGTAAGTTAGCTATGATGGCTTTGCGTTTAAAAGTTTAAGTGTTCTGTACACTGAATATCTTGCAGAGGTATCTATCTAGACGTTATATAGATAGATCTTCTAGACGTATACCTATATAAAATGTCTGCGGAATCTATTTGGCTATCAACTGCAGCCACAAGGACTGATAACATTACCGGACCGGGAGAATAGTCTGAACGGACTCCATTGTTTTCAATAGCTTTTCTTGCTCCGTTACCGGTTAGCCACTTATTTGAAATCCTGAGATGTTAAAACGTTCGTACTTTCCAAGAAATCCTTTCAAATTTTATATCTTTAACTAACGAGATATTTAAGCTTACTTCAATGAAAGATAAAATGTATGAAAAGAAATTCTTCGGATTTTATCTTGTTCATTTACCGGATTCAAGAGCCTGAATACTGCATGCTCTAGAATTGAAAAGTATTTCTAGCTGGGTTTTTTTTTATACGAAACGACCAACAACCGACATGATAATCATACGCTGTTCAGTTTGACTAAAAGTGAAATAAGCATGTCATGTGAAATGTCTTAATAGGTATATAGGACGAACGATTTTTTTCTACTTGTCTTAATTCTACTCAAGGAGTGGATCCGTCGGTCGGCGGAAACTTAAACCACCCCGTCACTACAGCAGCGCAGAGTCCACGATGGTATTGATCACGACCGCGGTACCGCGCCATCTGTCTCCTGGGCCAATTGTACTGCGCCGGTGCACCCGAGATTTACAGTCCGATACGTTATTGAAAGAGAAAAGTGTATTTCGCCCAGAGCGGCGTCTATTAGTCAAACCGCCACGCCGATCCGCCGCAAACAGAGCACGCCGCTTCGCCCCCCTCCCCTCACGTTTCGGTGCAACCATATCAAACTCGAACCACCCGCCTCACCCAGCTCTGGCCATACCTTGCCGTCGCAATTCCTACGAAGGTTTCGATTGCTAACAGTTATCGTTTTATAGTGCCTCATATTTCACGAACGCCGCCCAAGCGGCCTTGTTTCTCTGTGACGATCTAAATGTTCACTAAACTACACTGCCGAGGTCGTTATGCGTTTTCCTTTGGCTCAGGGAATTTGTGTACGTAAACGTTGGTGTGTTCGACGTTCGTCGTGTGATACGTTTCTCGGAAAAGTTCGAGCATTTGTTCTGTTTTGCTTTACTACTTTAATTAAAGAAAGGTTTGTGCTCATACCACAAGAAATTTTTCCACATTTTGTAGCATTTTACAAAATGTGGAAAAATTCTGGTCTTGCTCACCAGCATATGCACACATATTAGGTATAACGATGTAACTGCAAGGTATGTCAATTGAATATAAAGATTATAAATTAATTAAATATATACATTATCAGCTTATTCATGACACTATCAGCTTATTCATGCCGAAAATCGCTATTATCATTTTATTGCCGAATTACTTTTTAAGAAAATATCGAAGGGTATATTATTTTTACTATGTTTTCGCACGGAAAATGTTAATAAAACAACCACGACAAGAAACATTGATTGAGACTATTTGAAGTAAGACAGCAAAGTTTAATTACAGAAACTCAGATAATTTTGCAATTGAATCCGAGACTATGTACGAACAATGATCACGTCGCTCCCAGGATTAGTATTGTTAGGTTCAGTCCGGTTTAATCCGGTTCGTACTGGCCCGGAGCGGTGGAGGCAGAGCGGCCGGGTAGCGCGCCGCCGCATATTGGATTGACGTGCAATTTGTGATCGCTCTGCGCAATTGTCTGCTCTTTAGCCTTCGCCAACTGGCGAAATAGTTCTTTACCTGTATACCAACAATCTTTTACTTTCAACAATCACATCTCAGTATAGTTATTTATAAAACTATTAGAAGCGTTTTTTTTTTTATTTTTTTATAATTATTACATTTTTATGAGTTCTAAAGTTTGTGTTAGTTACCTTTACAACCAACGAATGGTTTAAAAGAAATGTACGTACTTAGGTCATTATGTAGTTCATGGAATAATTTTTTTATATACTTCGCCTTCGATAACATAGCAGCATCATGAAGCAGAATGTCTTAAATCCGCTCCAAGGCTCTCCGGCATTAAGTGCCTACGGCGGGCAATTTCCCATTTTCGTCCGAAGCTAGTTTCACAATCTTAATATACAACACCAACTGTACCCGTACCATGGTCAGTTAATGGTGCTCCAAGTTAACTTCTACGAGTTCCTACCACGAATAGAACTCAATTTTTTTCTATACAATGTACATTATGTACATACTTTTAATTGGAACTGTTTAATATCCCTATTATATATAAAAGTAGATGAGGAGAGATATGTTATACGTAGATGTGGTTACAAGTCCGCCAGTAACATTTCTTACCCTGGACACGATTCTTCTGTTGTTTTTAATATCAGTTTATTAGTTAGTATATTATTTATATATTAATAAGTAAAGTAAAAACTTTGTACCCCTTTTTACGAAATTTGCGCGGACGGAGGAGTATGAAATTTAATACACTTATAGTTGCTTATATATTTTTTAATTATGCGTAAAAATACATTAAATCAATAAAAATAAATTACACATACTACTACGTACTTATAGAATTTCGACCACTGGGCGACCGCTAGTGTACACAGGGTGGCTTTTCTAAGTGTATCCATATTTTTTTATTAAATTCTAGACATAAATAATGTTATACAAAAATGATAAATATTTAAAATCGCTCGTAAGTAATTAATTACATTCATTTGAACTTATCTCAAAAAGTGCGTTATTTATACGCAACTCATTTATTTTACGCGCGATCATTCATAACTAACACGCACCAAGTTCGTGTACAGTAAAATTTAGGTATTTATGAATGACTACCGCATTGTCAACACGTTCTGTGTTTTAGGGATTAGAGTGGCATTTTTTTGGAAAAAAACTTTTCTCGTTTTTTATTTCAATAAACGATTATACTACCGAGTCTGAACGTTCTGTGTAATTTTGGGCACTTCTCAAAAAATCTCCCAGTATAAAACTCTATTTTTACACTTAGTATATATCTTTCAATTTTTGACTCGGCAATAGGGATGTTGGAATTTAAAGATTGTGTATTCGAATTTAGAATGTCTTTGATATGGATAAAGGAATAAATGCTTTTTATGATGCATTTTTATGTGGTCACAGCAACATTAACCGTTTAAGAAATACATAATGGCGAATAATGTTATAAGAGTTTCATATAAAAGTGGCTCGATCCCGCTCTTTCGACGAGCAGATGTTCTTAATCTTCGATTGGCACCATCCTATCTGGACGCTGGATAACTCTTAAGGTCTGACATTAAAAGATGAGCAGGTTCTTAGATCGTCAGTCTCCTCGCGTTCCTCTTAATCCATATTATATGTTGTTGCTATTTACAAAACCCCATAACAAGGAAAATATTGCGCAGTAAAAGAAAAAACAATACTTTTATGTCAGTTAGTCGAAAGCTTTGGGATTAAACAAGCTCAGTATAAGGTCTAAACAAGATTAGCCTTAGCCTAAATCTACCCAATATATCATGTATCCCTCAGCAGCGTCATAGGGCTTTTAACTTATCTACCCAATATCATATCCTGAATCTCTCAGCAGCGTGGTAGGGCTTTTAACAGATTGTTTCACTGGTCTCGGTACTGGGCTACAGTTTCCAGGTCTTTCCAACTTTCGCAGCCCAGCGGAAGACGCCTCCTTTTCGACTGATCTCAAATCTCTCAATCTACTCGGTTAAGGTTAAAAAACTGTCCTGCCTTATCTCTGACGCTCCAGAGAAGGAGTCTTCTTTGATAGGACGCAGGTGTTGGGGAGTACCAAATAATAATTATTGAATATTTACGGAACATTGTAAATAAAAACTCATGGATTTTGTTACGTCCAATTTCTTTATAAATTTACTATATTTTGAACTCAGAAAATATCTTCGTCTTTGTTGTTTGTGGTTTTTTTTTAATTTAAGCACGGCAGTTGATTTTGTTCACTTTCGGTAAACGGTAAACGGCAAATTTTATGTTTCCGTGGTTAAGCGATAATACGCTGTACCTTTACCATGAACGTTGTAAGCTGGTAATATTTTTACGCGGAAGGCCTTTAGAGAACTCCCTGCGGCGAACGTTCTTATATGCAAATTAAATCTGAAGCAACTTTGTGTTACTTCCTGGCGTATTTCCTCTCATTACACCCTTAGTATATGATATTAAGGTAATTGAATATCTCATATGTAAATCTTCGGTCTAACAACACTGCACATTTTCATTCTTTAAGCATTATGATTCGTCGTACCTACGTAAAACACAATGTATGTAATAATGCACTATATACTATATATAATATACAATATGTAATTCTCTGTAACTAAGAATATAAATAAACTGCTTCTTGCGGCTTGCGCCCTTCCGCCGGATTTTAAAGTGACAGTTTAAAAGGCAAGACAAGACAGTGGCCGGTTTTTATAGAGCTAAGTGCATTATCCATCTACGAGATCATCACCACTTAAAATCAGATTGGTTGATATTCACTTTCTAGTTCTAAATAGTAATAAAAAATAACGACAGTATTGTAAAATAAATATTTCAGTACAGGAAACATTTTTACATAACATTCTCTAAATTAAGAAAAGCTCGTACTAAAAGCAACTGATAAAATGAAATATACATAAACATACTTTAAAAAAATAAAAACGTATGAATATATACTCGTCCCAGAAACTGGAAAAACGTCGTGTTTATCAATGTTTTTCCAATAGTGTGGATCGAACCTTAAATCCTCTGGCGCAAGACGCAGACTCACTACCCACTAGGCTCGTCACATGTAACTCTTATGTGAACTATGATTAACATGTAGATAACTCAAGTGTGGGATGGATGAGATTGGATTGTCGTAGCGACGATATTGATAGGTGTAAGATGAGTGATATTAGAGTACTTTAATTTTTAGAAGAACTGTATCAAAACTCAACTGGATTTTTGCACTTTGAAGTTAAACGTAACCGGATCCGAGCTCGGTCACAATAAATATTTTCACTTTGAGAGAGACGCGAATATTTACAAACTTTGTACATATTCGCGTCTCATTCTGTTTGCTTTCAACTTGATTTGTCGGAAAATTTCACCGAGCAACATACGGACGTCAAAAGTGTTTTCCTTAGCGAAAATTTTGTGCGCCTTTTTCCTTAACCCTTTGTTAATGCATGTGTTGAAATCAACAATGGCGCTTTTACGAGTCTTTTTTTTATTAGAAACTTTGGAAACGCTTTGTTACAAGGTGGCAACGCATCTGCAACCCTGCAAGATGTTGTTGCAAATGTTGCAATGGGCGTCGATTGTCACTTAAAATCAGGTGAACCGCTGGTTCGCTTGTCACCTGCTCACATAAAAAAAAAACTTTAAGTGCAGTAACCCATTCATGTATATTGAATTTTTTTGAACATGCCCGTAACTATTGGATAAAATCGTCAAATATTGAAAAAAATATAATATCTAACTACGGTTTCCCGACTGACTGTCTTACTAAATATTTCAATGATGTAGAAGCGTGAAATAATAAAATACCTATTTTCATCGACGATCGATAAACTGTTAACAGTACTATTATCATATTTTATTAATACGAATGTCACTAAATGGTTCGCGAGGCCTGTATGTCACGAAAATAAAACGACAAGTTGGCGCTATTTGCGGAGTTAAATTTCAACGTTATCGAATTTCCATCTCATAAACTATTCCGTAGCCCCGGCTTCTCAGTATGCGGACCGTTTATTTGAGGAGGTAACAAAAAGAACCATGGGAAACCTTGTAAGGCAGGGACGAAAACGAAAAGGGCGTTCCCCGGATAGATTTACATTCGCCCTCGCTGGTTCTTACTTAAGGATACATCGAATTTCGAATAATGTTGTGTTCGGAATTAGGTATCGAGTCGTGGGTTACTATAAGCGACAAGTTGTTGCTAATTTATCAAAGCAATAGACGGTTTTATTTTTGTCGCTCTGCATACGGCTCAATCAAAAGTAATTTGTTGCAAGCCGTAATATCGGCGGGGGTATGCTGTCAAGCGCTTCGGTAGCGTGATGTTTATTAGTACCAATTCAGAACCGTAAAGCGATAAATGTGAATTACACCAGAGCTGCAAATAGTGGTCGGACCAATTACTAACATTGCAAACCGGTCAAGTTGTAGGCGGTAATTATACGCTGTGGGCAATGAAGTTTCAAAGCAAAAGCACCGCTGCTACTAACCGCCCCTTCCCCTTATGAATTTAACATTTAATATTTTTAACGTTAACGTGAAATTGTTACGCAACATTATTCCTTCGACGTGTTCTGACAATGTCATAGTCACGTTACAAAAGTAAAATGGGTTTTAATGTCGTACCTTTCGGTGATAGAGCCACGCAGCAGGCTCGGCTGTTGCACGAATGGGCAGGCTCGTCCGGGTAAGTACCACGACCTCACAGAAGACCGGCGTAAAGTGGAAGTATGACAATTACTTTCGCGTTTTGTCTGGTGAGTGAGGCGGCCGGAGCCCAATTTCCAAAAATGTTGTCAACGCATCTGCAAACCCTCGGGTGTAGCAGATAAAAACATTCAGCGAGTCATTGAGTTGGCCCTCATGGGTGCTGGAACTAACTTAATTGATTACACATTTAAATGTTTTTTTTTTTTTTTTTTTTTTAATTTTGTCTGCTCCCTGCAGAGCAATTACATTAAAGTACAATAGTACAATGAAGGTAAAAAAATAATAACATTCAAGACTCGTTTATTGTGATATGTATTAATCTCTTAATTTAAGTCGGGTATATTCGATGACTTCAACGCTAAGAAGCGGAAACTGAATCAATCCGATGAATAGACTCGAAACGAATTGCGGTAATAGGAGAAAGTTTGCAACGCACAAGCTACTTATAAAATACATACATATGTATTCATTAGATAAATATTTTAGGAATTGCTTGCTAATTTGCTATGCGATTATATAGTAAACTAGCTTTCCACCCCGGCTTCGCTCGCGTTAAAGCCTTTAAGAAAGGTATTTTCAAACCTATACGACACTTTTTTTCAATTAAAAAGCCTATATGTCCTTTCTCAGGCTCTAGATTAAGTACCAAAATTCATTTAAATCGGTTCAGTAGGTTTGGCGTGAAAGCGAGACATACAGACAGAGCTACTTTCGCATTTATAATATTAAGTATGGATGTAACAATGGCTATGTATTATTACATTGTACGCGCATACAAAATGTACTATAAAATGTTGAAAAACACAAGGTTGATCGAAAAACAACACATTAATGAAAAACATATAATAGAGTTGTAGCTTCAATGGACATTTCAATAATACAATTTTTTGAATTCTAAATTCATCTCAATCGATTTTTTGAATTCTTAATCAATCTCAGTTGTGTTTTAGAGCTTTATTGAAATTGGTATTGTGTAAAAAGCAGTATTTCGTATATGATCACTTGAAACAACGTTGAATCCCCAGCAACTAATAAAAAGTACAATCGAGTTGATATGAGTTATCGAACTTGTGAGGCCGGTAACGAAGTTGATCTATTATGTATGACCCGTCTGGTAATAATTTATCTATTCAATCTTCTGATACTCTGTTACGCGGTTGATTGGTTAGTTGCTGCTATATCGCGTACTAACTTCTCGTGTATAATGACGGTTATTTAATACCAATGCAAGATGAAGTCGCTTCATTTCCTGATTCAGGTAGGTTTGAAATCGGAACAGTCTTTTTGACGATGTCTCCACACTTGTGTCTTTTGTATAAACCTCAATAGTACTTGACCGAAAAAATTCACCGTAGTCTAGTAGTTGTGTACTTGAATCAAGTCGTTTTTTTCTATTATTAAGATGTATCCACTCTTTTTAATTGCTATATTTTTGTTTATTTAGCCTACATTACTTAGCAAAAGCATGTTGGTGAGTACAGGAGAGGGACAGTCGTTATTTTAATTGCGACTCTCTGAATTTTTAATGTGCCCTTTAATAATTTGCCCGGTCTGGATGCAAATTAATATTCTTTGCTCCGAGTAATAAGATGAATTATTTGCATTTATAATCACAAAATGTTCGAGTATCTAAACGCTCAGCTGGAGTAATACCAACTACGGAATACAAGGTGTTCATATTACGCATAGTATATTTTTGTTTTTAATGAGAAAACAAGTGATCAAAATCGTTTACCTCGATTCGCTAAACTACAAGATAAGAAGCAATATTGGACAGACATGAATCAGCTTAATTTTGTTGTAAAGGAGTATCTACAACTGTTAATTTGATGAGTCCGTGGCGTAGTTGCCAAGGTATTGGCTTCGGAGTCAGGATTCGTGGGTTCGATTCCCACACCGGATAACTATTTGTGTGACCCACAGATAGTTGTTTCGCGTCTGAATGCTTCGTCCCCGTGAAATTTATGTTTGTGAAACGTCCTTACAACACAGGATAATGTTATCCTAAAGTAAGGGGAATGTTTTTAAAAAGAATAAGAAATAAGTCTCATTACATTTGTATGGATAACATTATGATAGAAGACACGCGTTCGTCTTCCCGTAAGACGGGATGAAGTTTTGTATTGAACTAGTCGGAGCCAAGAACGGAGACGTGACGCAAACATTAATGGATCTACATTCGGTTCCTTAGCGAGGCGCGGCGCACGTCGCCTACGATTGTCACTTAATGCTTAATGCTGTTAATAGACGCGTTGCGAGGGTCTCGCGGCTGTCTGTGCGGTCGTGTCACTTAGCGTTATCCGTGGGGTTTGCGGCTGGCGATAGTACAAGCCAATACGCGAGCTCTGCGTAATAATTGATGCCCTCTATGAGCCGCAATATTCGATGTTGTCGGGATTATCGAATTTGCCTCGTCACGCTTCATTTCAACCACGATAATGTACGACCGAAAATGTTTTGTCCTGACGCTATATTTTTGGGAGTCGCACTGTTGTTTTGTTTTCTTGAGGACATCTTTGCGTCTCGTTTTCTAACAACTAGAAAATATTAAGTACGAACTTAAATTTGTTTTACAGTCAGCCTTTTAAGGATTCATGCTGGGGTGAACAAAACAATTTGTCACTTCACAAGTTTTCAATTAAAAGATCTTCGTGGCATGGCTTCGTGGTACCACATCCATTTTTTCAGATGCCAATCTTCAGAACTTGCATGATTTATCTTCAGAATCTACATGTTACGAACTGATTTTAACTGAGCAAGCGATAACCGATTAACTTTAATGTAAAATAAATACGGAACTTTGTTAATTTAAATAATAGTCTTTCGACTAGACGTTATTTACTTTGTTCTCCACCCCCACAAAAAGTATGCCGTAATTATCCGCCGGTTGGTACAGCTTTAAATTAACGATTCAATAAACGAGCGAAGAGTGTGACTCTCTAACCTTTATTAAAACCTGTTGACATTTCACATTGTCCCTGTCCAGGATACGGAGCGTTGATAATCGCATCGCAATGTCCTTATGCGTCGCATTATTTAAACTATGGAATAGTGATGTTATTACCGGAGTGGATCGTCTGCCGCGGCGTTTCAGGGTATTAGCGACCCGACGCGATGCCAGCGCGCTCCATTACCGCGCATTAAGTATTTATGCGACCGGGACCCATCCCTAGTCTCGTCTCGCCGCGGACCGCCCGTGGCCGCCGCGCCGCTGGCTCTAGTTTTATTAACCGGCCATATTTAAACCCGGGCGACAGGGGCGCCGCGCTGTATTAAGAAATATTTAAAATAGACTCCTACCCCCAGTCTTCCCCGTGGTCGCTTCGGCGGGAGCCTGGGTGAATTTTAACGGCTCGATTTCATTTTTTTGTCTCGCCCCGTACCCTATCGGCGGGCCGGCGATTCTTGGGCTGTGGAACGGTGGATTTCGTCGGTTAAAAATTGTCGTGCACGCACCTATGTATACGGTTTGAATGATGATTAACTGTAGAGATAGATTAATATCAGCATTTATTGTTAGCATAGCAACATTTTAGAGGAATCGTACAGTTGTTAGTGTCAGCTGCATCTTTTCAGGTGTATAAGCTAAATTATAAGTTAACAACTCTAGTATTCACTGTAAGAACGAAGAAGTTATGTTGTGAATATATGGTAAACTTCACTGTCCATATTTAAAATACATCGGCGAGATAATAACATAAATTCGTCTTGGATAGGTTAAATTCCTACTAATGTGAATTCGACTTGACTTGAAATTTTAATTTGACTTGTATCGACCTAACATGGTTATCTTAGGTCGATGCAAATAATTATATTGATAAACATCACAGCTTTTGGCATCACAAAGATATTTGGAAAAAGCCTTATGTAATCCTATAATCCGTCAGCGTGTTTTCCATATTTTAGATATTATTTTTATCACAACTAAATGTTTTCTTTTACTACTTTAACGAATAAATGTATATTATTCCTCACCGTTTCAGAGAGAGTTAATTCCTCACAGAAGACCAGCGTAAAGTGGAAGTATGACCAATACTTTGGCGTTTCGTCTGGTGAGTGAGGTAGCCGGAGCCCAATTTTCAAAAGGTTGTCAACGCATCTGTAACCCTCGGGTGTAGCAGATGTCCATGGGCGACGGTATTCACTTAACATCAGGTTCGCCTGCTCGTTTGGCAACTTTTCGCATAAAAAAAAACGTAGATCCGTGATAGCTTAGTGTGTCCGGGTGCTTGCTTTTAATTTCTCGAATAAACAGACTTAAACATTTAGTGGCGGCTTAAATAAAATTATTGGACTTACATAAAAAATAATGATTAACGAAAATAAATACAGTAACCTAACCTTTGGAGAGAAGTCTGAGACGTTAATTGCATCAATTATTATGATAGGCAATATTCATTATGATGAACAATAAATACGTTCGGTACAACTGTGTGGAATAGCCGCCTATCATACATTGTTTGACTGTCAAGACACTGTCAAGTGTCCACTGACGTCATCGTATTGTATTTATTCAACAGGAATAGCAAAGGAAAAGTTTTTTCTGTTTGTTTATTTGAAAAACATGAATATGTTGAATAAATCTTTTTTAATTTCGATTCACATCAATATCGTAACGAAACATGTCATAGTATGACTTTACATTGTACTTTCCTGAATCAGTTTGATTTTGACGTTGAAAAAACTTATTAATCATCCGTACATGCATAAACTGTCTACACCAACATCTAAGCGAAAAATTATTTCAACAATTTTCCTTAGCAGTTAGTTATTTAATGAAGCCGAGTAGCGTAATCCTAAACCAGTTTAGACATTAAATAATTACTCATAATTTTACGTGTACCCGACCCGTATTATCCAACATAATTATAAAGTTGAGAATGTCATAATTTTTAATTAGACGGATCTCCGATATGTTTCATTATCACCAATTATTTTTGTTCGAGTTATTTACCAATTGATAGTGGGTATGTCGGGACTTAATTTTGAAATAATGGCGATGCTAAGTCTGCCCTGCCTGCCCAAGGAAGTACCAACTTCCCTTAAAAGCTGGCTGTAAAACCGGTGTGAAGTGTAAGTGTAGTAATTTTTGGATTCACTTACTCTTTTAGGGGTTACATATGTGATATCAGAAGTAACGACGAAATTCCACAATCTCACATAAAAAATAAAGTGAGTACAGCTGTTAAAGAATGTTGTGGATATAATCTTTAAACTGTCCAAACACATCGACCGCTTAAACCGTTACTTTAAATAGACTGACTATTACAGTACGTGATGAAGACAAAATCCAAGGATGTTCCCCTTTATTGGATTTTAAATCATTCGACCGCCTCATGGGATGACATTATACTGGCAACACTTTAACAATTGTTTGTCTTCTACTATCAACTTTCCTAACATATATGATAACACGCTTTTCGCCCGTAGCTTCGCTCGCGTGGAAGCCCTTAAATAAAAATCTTTCTTTTAAAAAAATCCAATTAAAAATAGCGTGTGCCTTTTTCACGCTCTAGGCTGTTTCTGACTTAGACCTGCTAGACTTGCTCTAGACTGTTTACCAAATTTCATTTAAATCGGTTCAGTAGTTTTGGCGTGAAAGCGAGACAGGCAGACAGTTACTGTCGCATTTGTTATTTTAGTATGGATACGAATTCCACAGTTATAACAGTGACGTGTTTCACTACTGCTGTTCACACGAAAGTTGTAACAGGTGTCTTACCATCGACATGTTTATAGTTATACATAAATAAATAAATAAACAAACAACATTACAAGAAACTGAATGAAATCTTATGGAATGTGGGTTCGATTACCAGAGGGTACAACTATTTGTGTGACGAACAGAAAAGTTTCCGTTATGGGTGTTTATTCGCGTGAAATTTCTGTTTGTAAAACGTCCCTTCAACTCAGGATAATTATATCCAACGGTAAGGGCAATGTTTATTAACCTAATTAAATAAAAAGTATGTATCAAAAAGGAATAGTTTTTTGTCATCACTACAAATAAAATCTTAAATTCTATACACGATCGCGCACTTAACGTCCTCGTGCATAAACTCCCTTTTAGTAGACCCGGACGCGGAAGCGAATTAACGAGATGCGGATTGCGAATGCCGTACTTAATAATACGGCATTTGAGGTCCGTTTTGTCTGGCGCAACACGACAGTGTACCGGCCGTTGGGTAGAAGGGCCGAAGAAGGCCTTTCCGTGCCGGCCGATCCTAATTCTCGAGTCCGGCCCGCAAGCCGCACGAAAGACGATAAACTACCCTCATTACGCGAAAAACACGACCAGTTCGGGGAGCCAAAGAGCTATTCCGAGCGCGTTTGTTTTTATCGCTTCTGAATTTCTCAACTAGTAGCCTCCGAACGAAATACGCCTCGCAGCGTGCAAACTTTTCGTTGGATTTCCAAAACTGCACAATCAAAACCGGACGGCCTCTGACGAGTGCTCTATCGGATATTATAAAGCCCCTGTCAAAGTTTTATAAATAGACTTAATACGATTATTGAACAGCTTTTCCAATTCCAAAGCGGCATATAACGAGAATGCCATAGTTTCAAAATTCGTAATTGGAATACTACTGTATGAGAAACTTCTTATACTTAGTTTGGGAAAAAACATTTTCATATGCGTTACAAGCATTCCATAAGAATGGATATCGCTAACATCTTAAACATATAACATAAAATATCTGAGACGACACTGTTACAAAAGCGTAAAAGCACTCTATCTCCGAGAATCTACGTATGTTGTGTGTTTGTGTGAGTGCGTTTGGTACAAGGACGTCGAAGTGTGCGCAAAAGTGATGTTTCAGCTCAGTTTCCTATGTAAATCAAATTCGCGCTTGGCTTAGAGGCGGCGCGGTAAACAATAGTTTATCTCGCTACGAGGATATGTGAGGGATATGTTCTCACGGTATTTAGTTGAGTTGTTTCGTAGGCGCTTATTTAGTTCTCAAGTTTATACGAATTCAACGCTTACTAGCTACCTACCTAGTTAGCAGCCATTCACAGTCTTTGCGAAGAAAAACTAACGAAGTGAGTAGCCGAAAGAGTTTCAACCAGAGTAAAGAACAAGCTTATATAATAAACTACTGTATTCTATTTATATGTGGTTTGTTCGTATAATTAAGTAAATAAAATTAATATTTACATGTTTAATTTACTAATTTTCTTATTCAACGTACTGTCTCATTGTTCTATCTCTCATCGTACATTGTTATTATCCATAAATTCATAGATACTCGTATATTTTATCGCAGTTCATGTCAACATATAAGTTTTACAAGAATAATACATTTTAGTACATTTCGTAGATTTAGTTAGGATTACGTAGACGATCAAAAACTAATTAATTTCCGGCATATATTTCTGCTGCATAATTTCTGTATGAGCCCATAGCGAACAAAAAACATTTGACACAAAACTGGATTTCCACTTCTTTTGTCCAATGTTCTATATGCATTGAAGATAGACGGATAGATAACGGAAACAAGTGTCGGAGCCCCGGGAAGTCTTTTAATTAATACAAGAACTGTACGTAACAGACTATTGGAAACCAATCGACTGGCGGCGCTCGTTTATTAGGCAAGATAGTTACACCGCCTCACGGCTTGGGGCGCTCGTAATTCTTATAGGGGCGTTAAACTTTCGTGCTTGCTTTCGTACGGTGTGAGGTACGCCCCCGGCTCAAGAACCATATTTTAATTAATGGAGTTGAAGTTATCTGGCTTCGAGACTCACACAGTCGAAAAGGTGCTGTGCGAGTTTTTGTTAATTGTCTATTTTTGAATACGTGATGTTAATTGTGTCCTTATTGAAAGAAACCGTTATAAAGGTCGTATGTTATAAACGATTATTATAGACCAGCACTTGGATTAAGAATTTTGGGACATATTGACAATTAATGTATAATAGTGTAAAAAGTTATTCGATGAGTACACTTAAATAATATCAATTCTAGCTTCGAATTCTATTTAAAAATAAATCAAACGTCTCACCAATTGAGGCTTTCATTACCGCCGGTAAGGCGGGCTTTAAATAAACTCCAGAATTATGCAAACGATCCGCTGCTTTACTGGACGGCGGCGGTAATAAAAGAAACTGTTAAAGAGGGGGGGGGGGGGGGGTTGCTTCCTTCTATAACGTCGGTCACATCTGTTCCTAACAGCGCTGCCCCTCCTGGCCGTGTATTGACAATAATTTGTAAGGGTCGCCCTACGTCCGCATCTACAACTCCACGCACGCGAGGTGATTAGAATTTGCAATTTGTTGCCTGAACTCTTGTATAGTGCACGTTATATTGTGGAGGACTTGCGGGCCCGTCCGCCCTGTGTCTGGAGTTAACGACGGTCCAAAATCTCGAACAGCTGTGTGTATACAATTTGCAATACACTACAATTTACACCTGATGATAAAATTGGTGCAGTTCTCGGGAGTAGTGACGTCAATTATTAGAAGTAGGCACCTCTTCTAAGACACATTGTAATCACCATTAGTATCACGAATCCTCGATCCAACAGTTAATTTCGTTTGTCGTCCCACAGGCGAGCCGTGATATGTTAGTGTTTTATTCAATATCTGGCAGCTTGAGTTGGAGTCCCGGTGCCGGCAACAATAAAATTGGTAATCGCAATTTTAAGTGCCCTCTCATTGCTCAGCGGTGAAAGCAAACCTCGTAGAGAAACTTTTTGACTTTGACATTATGCCATAATGTCTTCTGTCCATGCGATGTGTATACTTTACTGTTACTTTACTCTTTTTGTTAAACTTAATCACCAGTTCGTTCCCCAGTTGCCGGATTTGTTAATTTCGAATTGAATGAAGCACATTTCACACATTACAAAATTTGATTACGACGCAATGTTGTGACATCTAAGGGTTATGTTCAATTCAGAATTGATTTCATGTTAGAAACAAAAACAACCGTTAACTTTTATTTGTATAAAATACACAGGTATTTATATGTTATTAATAGAGTTGGGAATGTGATTATTAAGCTATAGAAATTAAATATGAAAAACTTCCGTGTTGATTATGAGATTCGCAATTTTAAGAAAGAAGTTTTTATGTTAGTACTCGTATTAACTTCAACTTGGGACACGAGCGCACCGCAACCCTATTTGCTGCTTCAACAGTTTATTTTAGTGAACAACAAACAACGCATTCAATTCAAGTATCATTATTAAATGAAAAATAAAAACTTCCTATACACTTTTGTAATAACAAGAAGCGATGAATATTAAATGAAGCGATTACATGTAATGCGTCGATGTTTTTATTCTTCTACATGTTATTATGTCGTATTTAATCAGAGCTGGACTCTGTGCCGCCATTAATCTTCCGTCCGTCGGATTTGGGGCACAATGAGGAGTCTTTCGGCGGGCAGGTCCGGATTGCCGTTGCCATTGTGACATGCATTTACACGCTTATCTCTGATCTTAATTACCTGTGGACCCTTCCCCGACCGAGTACCTGTTCGTGGTTAATTATTAATCTCGATGTAGCTGATCTTACTTATGTACACTTAATAAATGAGTGAATTTGCATGTGATTGTGTATATGTGATGTGTAAGGGCTGATACCTATATTTGAATGGGACACAAATTTTACGTTGACTTAACACTAGGACACTGCCTATTTTGCTTGAAATATTTTATTCTGCTTGGAATTCGCCATGTGCCATGGAAAGTAAAATCTAGTCTGCTTGACTCCCTATTTATTGTACATTAATACTGCAAGATCAATGAATTAGTACATATATTCGGTGATTAAAGCTTCCTTGCAATTCTTCTAGCCGAACGATATTATGCGGAGCCGAAAAATTACAATTTTTGGTTAATTATTACTTTTCGTTCTTTCTGTTAAGTGTCAACTTAACTTAACGTAGAATATTGATAAATAATTGTATATAGTTTTCTTGATTTTACGCGAATATTAAATGAAACTAGTTTACGGATTATATCGCGTTTTTAATTTTGATTTGAACTCCCGACGTTTTGAACCCTTTCCAGTGTTCATGGTCACGGGACAGACTCTGTGTCTGTAAACTAGTTTCATTTAATAAATAATTGTATGATTATAGAAATTACTTTCCGGGCGCTTTACCCGAAAGACCCTATCTAAAGCCGTGATGAAAGCGGCCGCTTAAGTAAATAGGCTATCAGTTATGCTAGTATAACGTTTTATATTAAAGACGTTCGACTGGTTAGATCTAGACCACCTAGACAATTATCGGTTGGCAAATCAAGGTAAACATTTGACTGCGCCAATGTTCGCGATTGCCACTAATAACACATCGTTCGCGTCACGTAACACGCTAACCGATCGAGTTGTGGAGCAGTTAGCGGGCAAGGTAACGCCGTTGCGACGACGCCCACGTCGTTTTGCAGGGTTCTAGGCCACTCGGACACGACCAGCGACCGGGCAAACCGATCCCGACTCGACTGCACACGCCATTGAGATATTCGACGGCGATAGGCACAGACCGCGGGCTCGACATGTAATTATAATTATAATTCGCGTTTTACGCCGTTCGCTTGTGTCGCGATAATTTATTTCACGTTACGTTTCATTCGTAATTAATCACTATCGAGCCTGTATATCATTTTAACTTTAACCTCCTCTTGTTGATCCGTCTTCAGTAGCAGTTTCGCAAATTGCGTACATTTTAAAGGGTTCTTACGCTCTCATTAACATTTGTAGAGCTTAATTCCTTAAATAGACAAACGCGACATTGCCACATTGGTGGTGTATATACACCACCAATATGGCAATGAATACATTAAACCATTAATTGCCGCTGGTTGTGGCTCGGGATATATTTTTCTTTAACCTATAACGGATCGATCATCTATCTTTTCTTTAGCATAGAGATATTTCCCTATACAAATGTATATTTAATTTGCAAGTCTTTGAATAATAATATCAATGAAAATTCTATTCTTATACTTATACATACCTGCTAAAGACAATTTCAAATCTTATGATATTATTTACTTATTTAAATAAAATAAGGCGTCCTACAAGTAAAATGAGGTTCTAAAAAATAATGCAGGTTCGGCGGTATCAGGAGATAAATTAAGTTTTTATAGTTTTTTTATTTCGTCTGCGCGATTCGCCTGCAAATTGTTGCGTCATTTCTGAAAACAATTTGCTCAAGTGCATCGCAAACAATGTTCGATTACCGCATATATCGCAATAGACGGGGGCGGGGGAAGGGGGGTGTCCTTAATCGCTCTTTACGACATGTGAAACAAGCGGCAGATGCGCTCCTTCACTTAAACTCCTCAATGGCGTCGTATCGGTGTTAGACTTGTCCGATCGCGAAATTAAAAAGGTTCACAAAAGGAAGACGTGAAAGGAAAAACGGGAAATCTACGGATAATCAGCCGCCGAGTTTTTGCTTCACCCTAATTCTAAAGCTATCAATTACCCCCCTCCCCCCTGTCCGAAGCCACTGATCCGTTCCATTCTTTCACACTCGGGGGCGAATCTTGTATCGAATTAACGGAGAGCGCGAACCGGGCCGTCACCGCGAGACGGGGCCGTCGATCAGCCGCGATGGAGCCATCATGCAGCATCAGCGGGGATGAGCGAACACCTGTACGAATTAATTGCCCCCTCGAGCCCGGCTAATTATGAACGGTTGCGATATATTACGAGCTCAATCAATTTAGTAATTCCCCTCTCGGGCGCCCCGCGCATCTGATGCTGTCTGTCTTGCTGTTTCGAGAGGCGTTTTATCGGTGTGGTTGCTTTCGCCTTGGCGGTTGTATCAACATCAATCTATTTTTTACGACGTTATATTTTTTTATGTGAAAAGTTGCCAAGCGAACAGACGGCTCACCTGATGTTAAGTGAATACCGCCGTCCATAGACATCTGCTACACCCGAGGGTTCCAGATGCGTCGACAACCTTTTGAAAATTATGCTCCGGCCACCTCACTCACAAGAAGAAGTGCGAACGTATTATACTTCCACTTCTATCTACTCGTTATAATTGACCAGAGAAATTATGCTAATGTTTATAATAATATGTATACGAAAGATATTAGGCGCGTTTTATCTATTATCTCGCCGCATAGATTTAATGACAAAATTACAAATGGAGATAAGAGCTCTCTAGCTAGCTTACGCATTCTTCTTGTACTCATTTAATGTTTCAAGTTCGATAAAAATCATGTGGTTGAAGCGGCAAGCAAACTTGTAACGTATAAAGATATATATCATTTATTAATCTATATTTCCTTCAACAATTTTTAAAGGATCTTCCTCACAATTTTATAAATGTGTGTGACGTTAAAAGGATGTGGTAGGATCGAGTCCAATGTGCATCGTGACTTTAGAAATACGTACATTTTTATGGATATGTGTTGTACATACGTATGTTGATATCCTAATAACACTGATGTAAACAGCTGAAAAAACCCACCACGCACCGCCCGCATCACTCCAATATATTAAAGAAGTGGGACACAAAAAAATCAATGAAATCTTTGTTACCCAGCACAATTACGGCTTCAGCGTTTCGCGGAAGCCAAAAGTGTACGCGGAGTTCAACGAATGTCCGGGAATATTCTCATCGCGCAATCTCCCACGGCGGTGGGTCGGCCGCGGGTATTTATGGGGCTTACCTTAACTTATATCGTTTCTCGATTAAAGTAAAACAAGGGATGGCGTGGCCGCTATTGCCGGCCGTGGTCGGAGGTCGGCATTTTAATTCTCGTTCTCATTTGGGCGCGCTGGCAAAAATCTCACGGTTCGCCGCACTCTTATTTGTCTTCGCCGCTTCCGCGTATCCGTTTCCCGTAAAGCCGCCTAAAAGAACGCGGCTGGGGGGAAAGTCTCGATGAAGCTTTCGGTCGGTGTTTGTAGGAGATTATTGCTTACATCACTGCGCACCTATATTGCACTATATGGTGTCCACGTCACTCCGCCGCCGTTGCCGTTAAACTTTTATCTTTATAGGTCAGTCAAATTTTATGAGCAATGTGATTGAATTTTTTAATGTGATTTTACGTTCGAAAATTGAAATAACATTTCTATAATGTTAAAATCTTTGCAAGAACAAGTGAAATTGTTATTTAAAATGTATAATTAGTATGAGGGGGAACTGCAAAATAGCGTCGGTTTTGATTTATTTAGTTAACAGGGCTAACATAGTTGTATTAACTTGATTACAAGAGTCAATTTAAACAATCAATAATGTTGTCACAGAGCATTACATGAAATACTAGCTCAGTGATTATGCCAAAATAATCGAGTCAGGAAAGTACTACGCGCTTCAATCCAAATTGGGTTTTTAATTCATTCTAAAGCGGAGATAGATTCCCTCCGCCCTCCATTCTTTCTATTCTTGGTACGCCGTTGTATACTTAACTTGTCAGTGGTAGGGGGTGGGTGGATGTATTTCATTTCGGACAGTTTAAGCGTCTCTTTACTTCCATTTTATTCTGTATCAGTCGATGGCTACGGCGTTTTCTTTCCCTGTCCGTAAGTAGATTATCTCTTCTCACTTATTATTCGTGTCTTAACTGAATGTACGTATATATATATATATATGTATATATATATTTTTTTTTTAAACATTGCCCTTACTATAGGATAAATTTGTCCTGTGTTGCAAGGACGTTTTACAAACATAAATTTCACGCGGACAAACACCCAGATGCGAAACAACTATCTGTGGGTCACACAAATAGTTGTCCCGTGTGGGGATCGAACCCATGACCCCCGACGCTGAAGCCAATACCTTGGCAACTGCGCCACGGAGTCATCAAAATATTTAGTTTGTCTTGCGATATAACTGAGGTTAATGCTTTATTATGACTGATGAATATTTTTTAGTTTCAGGAACTCGCATCTGTAGTGCGATATTTTGAAATAATCAAATGTTAAGACCTCCTTTAAAATGTTTACTGTCTCTGAACCACAGTTATGACAGTTTACGACCAGACCTTCTTGTCACAAATCGGTAAAAAATACTTTATTATGTTGCCTTTATTGTGACGTTTCGTTTACAGACCCTATCCACTTTTTCATTGCTCGAATTTTATGATCTCCAATTGTTTAACTTCATATTTCTTTATATGTGGCATAGCCAGAAATTGGAAAAATTATCGTCTTGAATTATTTTCCTTATTAGTTTAAAATTTTTACCATTTTTATCTCTGTTTGTCTTTTTTATCACCATCAATTTTCTCTTCTTTTTTTTCTTTAAGGTAGTGATATTAAAGAAAAAATACGCAGTAAGTATTAATAATTACCACATTGTAAAAATATTTGACGCGTTCAAAACAATCATTAATTTTTCTCGTTGGCCTCTTTTTCATTTCGTATTGTAATCGCACGCTGGAACAAAATATGTAAAATAATAGAAAAAGAGAAATAACAAATAATTTTTATGAAGGGTGAAATGATATTTAAAAGAACCTTAACTGATGTTGTCAAGTTTTTTTGACACAAATCGGTCTCACTGTCGTACAGACGCAACAAAGCAGTTAATTGAAACAGTGAGTCCGGGGCCTACGCTGCCGCTACGCCGTCGCGCGCCAGTGCTACGTTGGCCGTCGCGTAGCCTGCACGTCGCTACGACGTAGCGAGCAAAGTTCAGTGCCCAGTGAACGTCCTATATGTAATTGTGTTTGTGAAGTGAACGGAGTTTGAAAGCGCATATTATGTTTTGGTAATTTCAAGGAAAATCTCTCGAGAGGTCTTTAAAAGTGTACTACGATTTATGTGCTACGATTAAAACATGTCTGGTAACGCATCGAGCTCTATTAATTCCGACACTAGATGTGAATCACAGATAAAATTATAATCATTTTTTAAGGAATCATCTGTATAATGCTGTGGACGGGTTACATTAATGGTGTTTCCTTTTAGTACAAATGCCGTTCCGAGTCACTTTCTTTATGGCGTCGTTTTAATGATTACTTTGACCTCAATCTGTTTCATGGCGTTTTAAAAAAGCCGCATTAATGTAACTTTCACGGATAGATATAATTGACTAATAGTTCTAGACACATTTTCGTTGTAGAATCCGGGTAACATGACTAATTTGCCGAACCAACCTTTTAGGAGTACATGTCGGTTCATTTAAAGTTGAACCATAGTGGTTTTGTTACGACGCAAGATTACAGACTAAAGTTATAGAATTCAATGATGTTCTTACAGTTTGAAATTTAATACTTCCATTTCGTCTGTGACACGCCGAAAGGCACTAGAAATTTAGCAATTTAATCGATAGTGTTGGATAGAAGTAATTTGACGAATAAAATCATTCATATTTCTTTCCTCAATAAATTTGCTTATGTTATATTTTCTGGACAAAAATATTTATATACGTATCCTAAATTCATAATGGATAGTGGGGATTAACATTTTCGTCTTTCTCCTTTGATATTTCTTTAATATCAATTTCACATACAAAAGGTTTTCATATATCAAATTTTGTTTTTATACAATTTATTTTATGTGAAATAATTAAGGTAGTCAGTTATCGTGATCGCGTGAGATCTTATTCTGAAACTTCACTGTTGAAATTTTAGATCACCTTAGATTCCCTAATTCGGTATTATTTCGATTATCCTCCGAGGGATTGATGCTCTGACTGTATTATCTTTTTTTATTATCTGCTTTTCTCTACTGCTTTTGATATAAATAGTGCATAATCGCAACATTTTTTTATAAAGTATACACTCAATCCTTAACATCGAGCGAAATGCGAGGCACAAATGTGGAGTACATAGCTTAATAGCCAACCGTTATCTACACTGTCCGTTCCATCTTTTTCCCTATTTAAGCGAGCTAGAAGTTCTCAGATCAGCAAGTATTGGCAGTGTTTCCGCTCTTTTTATAAATCCCCGATCGGATTCGTCACAGTTTTGTGATTAGTCTTTATTAGCCCGCCTTTATCCGTTTTCCTTTCGTTTGATTGATTATGTTCGTTCATCCGATCCGATTTTCATTAGATATTTCAGAGTTTGTTATCGCTCATCTAAGTTTAATATTGATCATCACATACCATGCTGATTATTAATTTAATTATCGTTACTTTTTCTGATAATATAGATACTTTAGAAAATCTTTGTTTGCAATCGTGTTACGAAATGATGTTATACAATTGGTGTATTAAAAAAAACTAAATACTGTTATTACATTTATAAAGCTGGTGGACCGAGCTTTGCTCGATTTGTTTTTTTTTTGGTAAATCGTGTATTTTGAAAATTACATTTTAGTTACAAATTACTAATGAAATATGCACAATATTTTTCGATCTTACCGACGTAATAATAACAAAATATGAACTGGTGTTTTTCACAAAAGAAAGAACTTTAAAAAAAAGGGAAAAAATAACAAAATCATCTGGATCGACAAAAAATAAAGAAAGCAATGATCTGGAATCGAAAAAAAGTAATAAAAGTAAGTGTGTAAAAAATCGTGATACGAACCACGGCCTCCTGTTTCGTGGCAGTTTGTTAGCGGCCGCCCGATTACCGACCGAGCTATTATAATATTTTTTTTCGGTGAAATTTACCGTCGTATTCGAATGATATTTTTCATTCCCTGAAAACTGGGA